TATTGCCAGCTTGTTGTAACCCTCAGTTGATGCAAGTAGTTATGCTGTATGCAAATATACTTCTGTAATAATAGACAAATCTGGTTCTCTTCTTGTCGTTTACGTTGTAGGGTCGTTGTTAATTACGGGATTAAGTTCCTGTAGGACTATGAATTTGCCGATGAAATGGGGTATCAATGGTAGGCTACGATTCTAAAGAGTTGTTAAGCGTCAGATCGCTTTAAGCTATAAAAGTACACTTAAACAGACTGACTGTAGGCACAGGACGTAGTGACACCCCTAAGGTGTGAATAATCATTAGTTTTAAGAAGTTTTCGATAATCTACAAAATCAGTGTTCTGTGATCTAAATTAGTTTAATTTTATTCTAACGATGAAAACAGTGATTACTTTATTAATTTAATATTTCGAAAGTACATGCGAACCAAGATTGATACTTGGACGCGATTCAATACTCAGTAACTGATATTTCGTGATTTTGTTCAGAACCTCTAGGTAAATGCCAGGATGGACATGTACCGGGTGACTAGTACTTGGACCCTTCTTTAAAGAGATGCAAATAAAATAACGAGGACTTGTAATTCTCTTGAGCTGACAGCATTTTGAGAAGAACTGTCAGGAGGGAGACTTTAAGAAGGATACGTGAGAGGAAACTTTTTTGCGCTGTTGGATGGCAAATCCGATTCAGACTTCTCATGTGTAATTATATTGTACATCGACCATTTAACTGGAACCTAATTCAGTTCTGACTGACGCCCTAGCAACGCGACGTGACGTGATTTTTTGACGAAGCATGTGGACGTCTTGCGGTTGGTTTAATGTTCACTCCTAAAGTACAGAAACTTGTTCAAATAGAAAACGTTTTTTGCTGTTTTGAAAAGAACCAAATTCTCTGCTTTGTAGCCTGTTTATTATATTCTAGGATATAAAATTCCACAGGCAGTTTATGTCGAGTGCGAACTTCTGTTCTGTATTCCTGCATGTTTATTGTCTGTTTGTATACCATCAGCTGATGTATACGCTCCGTTGTTTTCATTCGTGGCAACTCCGATAAAATTGATACTGGATACAAGCGAATATCACCTAGTTTGTTACGTGTGGTGCTTCCATGTGCCCAAATTAAAAGTCTCCGTGAAAAAGTTTTGTTTTAATTCCTTTAAACACTTTGAGAGCAATGTGAAGACAGTACAGACACATATTAAAAAAAATAGTTCCAGCAATATTTTCAGGCACCTCGAGACACCTCGAAACGCATGAATAAGAACAGTGAGTAAGTTCTTTGAAGGTGACATTACTCATTAATGTCAGAGTTAGTATAAATGCTTTGCAGAATCAGTTGTCACTTGTGAGACTTGGTCCGTCTACCAATTTGTACATTTTAAAATGTATTTGGATTCTTTTTTCGAAACCGCAAGTTAAAATCCAAAGGGTTTAAAGAAAGACAAGAATAAATCCAATAAACATATCCGGTATAGTCGAGAATCATGTCAGGACTCGAACAGAGGACCTTCTAAATACAGGACACTTACACTGTGCTCCAACATCCTGTGAATGTGAACTTCACAATACCAGTTATAATATTTCATATGAGAAACTTCATAAACGAGGATTTTGGCCTTATTTTTGTGTGGTGTGGGTCGTTATTACAGCAGACTGTCTAAATATGAAAGATGGAATTGAAGGTGAAGATGGCGTAGAGTCGAGCCATCACGGATTCGTTTTGGAAGAGCAAACACGTCTTCTGTATCCTCCGATGAATGATAGTACGCATGGCGCATACTTCTGCGGTAGTAGTCATCTTGTAAAATGCGATGGAGGTGTAAGTCTCGATCTAGGAATTGGAGACGGTCGATGGGAAAGCAAGTTAATAAGTGTTATAGGAAGACGCTATCTGTGTCGCCTTCCTTTGCTTACAGTAACGTGGCAAGTTTTAAAATAAGTTCCGGGAAGAGAGTTTAATTCCTACTTTACCTTCCTGTGCTTCAATCTTTACAGACAACGAATATTATGAATTATTATCTCTACTTCTTCGTAATATTGGGAGAGTCTTCGATTCCAGACACATAATACGACATAAGTGGTCGAGATTTCTGGACTGGTTTATCAAACCAGTGGTTCACAGACGCGGGGGAATTTATTCACCAAGTGGGTAGCTATTAATATCAAGAGTCGTGGCAGCATGGAGTTGGTTAATCAGTTTGGGTTATACAGTTACAACTTCAGTGCAAAGTGAACCAGTTTTCACGAAAGCATGGTGCTTCATCAGATACCGACGAACCGCTGTCCAGACACTTGCCCGCTCAGTAATGCTGGGGAATTCCTCGTAATAACACAACCACCCAGACATCAGGTCTACTCAAAGACCATTGACGCCTTACAGCAATGACGTCACTGACATTCGGAAAAGTCAAAGATCATGACCTGACTGAACAAACAGCCTCCCACCCGAAAATGCAGAAGCAATGGCAACCATTCCAGAGGTTAGGTTGTGTAGGGTTATTTCAGGTTGTTTTACATCGGGTAAGATAACGTGGGTTCTGTTGTGTCCTGCAGAATTCCTATTGCGTTGACCTAGCGGACGTCGGGATGTCCTGGAAAATTTCTCGAGAATTGCTGGAGAAGTGCTGGAGAAATTCTGGAGAATTTCTGGAGAAATCATAGAAAAGTGTTTAAAAGTCTTTTACAATGTCGTTTGACGTCTTTGAGTAGAGTTGGAGAAATCCTGGAGAAGTGCTGGAGAAGTCCTGGAGAATCACTGAAGAAGTTCTGAAGAATTTCTGGAGAAATTATAGAAAAGTGTTTAAACTAGTGCTTATCCCATTGTCCCCTTTTGTAATCAAGTGCTCACTAAAGCTTATGCATTCGATTACAGCCTTTCATGCGTGTTAAATTACGTCTTTAGCACGAGTTTCACTGCAATCTTCAGTGATACCTTCAGCATATATATTCCAGCTATTTTCACGGGTG